ACTTCACAAATGAATTGTGAATTCAAATTTCGAATTTGTTAACACGTTTTAGACACACGCACTTTTCAATAGTATGAAAAATGGTTAAAAGTAGCATACACATGCTATAAATATACTATTTATTTGATTTTTCTATATAAGTGCGTGATTTGAGCTAATCTAAGTGAACAATAAATACAATTTGATTTTAATAAAAAATATTCTGATTTTCATCCTGAAGAAGTATTTTCTGGGTTTGGGGTTATCAATGTATTCAAGAGTGACTACAATATCTGTATCAATTGATTTAAATTCTATTATAATCAGAAATTTTTTCAGATAATAGTACGAGTTGAATCTGTTCGATATGCCTGATGTTATAATAATTTATACTGCAGATTAAGTGACCAGTTTTCTTTTCAAAGAATTTGTGTGAAAAACAGAGAATTTTAAAATTTTGTGCCATATGTCTTTTGCGTTAGGTCACTCCTTGTTTTGTCAATTCTAATATATAATATTCGAAGAAAAGAATTACTAAATGTAGTGCAGAAATAAAATTTATTTAAAATTTAAATTTAATTTTTAAAATTTGACAAAAGATATTAGTAGAGTTAGCTATTATAACCTACTTTTTAAACTGCGTTAACTGCATATAAACTCTCTACATTGTTAAGAAAATGAAAAAAATTGTACATGCCATCTCACAATTTTTACATAATAAATTGTTCATACATTATATGAACTGAAAATGTCCATATAATTAAACATAATAAATTTATTTATTAAATAATTCATTTATTAATTTATTTATTTATTAAATATGTATAATAAAATATATTATATCTATACACTTTATTGCAATCTGCCAAATTTTAAAGAAAATAAGATACAAGTATTTTGGGAAAATGACCTTAAGCCAAACGGAATTGCACAGTGTCCTTAATGGAATGAACTGGCTGAATTTATGCGCATATCTTACCCCAAGCCTTTAAATATAGGGAACAAATTATAAACGAAATCTTTTAGACGCACTTATGTATGGATAACAACAATAGATACTAATTAAACTCTCTACAAGACTAGAGGTATAAAAAGAGTAGGCAATCGCTAGGTTAAGCTGACAACATCAGGTCATAGCTTTAAGTATATAATGTTTAAAATATGGATTATTATTGTATGTTTTAAAATTATTATTAAAGAAAATACTATATACTACATACATACTATAACTATACAATTAAACCAATAGATTTTTGATTCACTTGAACAAAAATCAAATTATTGGATAAATAATTTTTCTCTTTAGTACCCGTTTTTAGGAAAAATACTTCTTTGATACTTTTATATTTTATAAAAATCGATAAGTGAGGTACATAGAAGTTATCTAATGGCCCGAAACTGCAACCAGTCAACCAACCTGTTTTAAAATATATCATTAATGTCTATATCATTAATATTATTAAATGTGTTTTTATTTTTTTTTTGATGTGACTAGTACAATCTTAACTATTTCCTAATTTAGTACTATTGCTGAATTGTACTTAAGAGATATTAAGTAATACGTGTACGGGTATACTGAACCAGTGTTCAACTCCCATAGTTATTAAATGTTATTTAAAATCTATTTTAGGTAACTTTATTTATTAAATTCTAACGATGCTACTTTCAACTTAAGAAACGATTTAGTCTAAAATTGTGCACTCTTAAGCTATCGAATTTTTTAGAGTAATATTTTATTATATTAATTTTTTTTTCTACAGTTTAGTAGTAGCTAGAGTAAAAAATTTCGCACAAACTAATTTCCTGCTTCCGTTTCAATGTCCAAAATTGTAACTTCAACTCCAAAGAACAACGGTAGCGGCAGTGACTAGAGCCAAGGCAGTAGCAACTACAACGGCAACGCCATTGGCAATGCTTGCCTTATCCGTTGAATGCTCACACATTTTGTGGTTTTAACAAAGCTTCACATGAAAACTATTTTAAGCTCTTCCACCCGCCCGCATACACAGTTACCATCAACAGTTAGTGGAATTGTAGTCGCTTACATACGGAAACGTTTTCGATTTTAAGTTATCGTCTATACAACAAAATGCAAAAAAAAAAAAAGAACGCTTGCTCATGTTACTGTAATTTCTAATACCGCTGCCAATGTGTTGTTACCAAGTTTGTTTTAGTTGTTGCTATTCTATTACTGTTGTTTTTGTTTTTGTTTAACAATATTAAGCTACACTAATATGGCTTAACATTTTACTTGCATTTGTTGCTGTTATTGCATTTGTAACTGTTATCAGCAACAACAACAACAACAATAATAACAACAGACATACCTAAATAGCAAACTCCAATTGAAATCCTTGTTGCCACATTTTATTGTTGCTGCTTTTATAAGTGTTATTATTTGCTTGCTTGTATGTGTGGTTAGTCAATGTTTGCGTGTGTATGTTGGTCGAGTGCTTGTCATATGTCATTATTGTTGTTGTACTTAAAATTATAGTTGCAATTGATATTGCCATTTCAATTTGACTTTGTTTTTGTTGTTGCTTTTTAGTTTAATTTATGATTAAGTTCTCCGATTCAGTTAAATGGCCAAATATATACCAAATTGAATATAGGTTGTTTTTTTGTTTTTGTTTTTTGTATTATGTTTTGTTTTCATTTCACTACAGAGTGC